GTGACCTACCACAAAGCTGCATGGCCAGCCTTTGGCCACTGCTTTTAATCTGTGTTCTCAAGCTGGTTCTCCACCTGAGATCTGTAGATGGCTGCCAGCATCCCAGGCTCTCTTGCTACGTGTGTGCCAACCTCTGTAGTAGATGAAGCCTCTGAATTGATAAGTCCAGCAAAAATCCTGGTGCTGTCACTCATTGGTTTGATTTGGGTCAACTGTTTACTGTGAACCAATCCCTGAGGACAGAGAGAGGTGGTATCCAGATTGGCCAGGTCTGGATCATATCTCCCTTTTCCTCTTAGCCAAAAGATGGGATAAGCTTTATTTGATCAATATTGATGGAGGAGAGATGGGTGATTCCTCTGCCTGGCCAGACCTTGAGTCATCTTGCCATCCTTGGCTACAGAGTCCTGAGACAGAGAAACCATTGATGGAGTTTAAGTCTCTCTGACTATAGTATAGCAGGGAGAGGTCCCTCTAGTCCATTAGGCTTCTGTTATGGGGGATGATCTCTAGATCCCCCTTTCACCATGCAACTGGGGGAGGGTGACCCCCAAATAGAAAGGGAGTGACTAGAGGGAAAAGGACCAGGCGGTGATTGTATGAATACCACGAGTGAGCTGCTTTAGTCCCAGCAGGCCTTGTGCCTCCTCTCACGCTCCTTATGAGGCTCCCTGGGCCCAGCACATCCCTCATTCCGCTGCGCATCCTGCCTTGTATGACTGTATTACTCTGCCTGGAAGCCCTGTCCTCCTGTTCCGTCTGCAAAGCCCTGCTCAGTGGCAGAGCTGTTCAAATGGCCCTGCCTGTTCTCAGGCTGAGCTGGCTTCTCCCCAGGAGGAAGCAGCCAATGTGAGTCTGCCCCCAGGGCAAGGTCTATACTCAGGTGCAATCAAAATCTGACAAAAGTGCTTTCATATTAAGTCCTCTGTATATCTCCTAGTTTTGTTTTCATCAAAAATTTAACAGCTGCCACTCCAACACGTTTCTTTCAAAATTAGTGCTAGGAGAGCTGCCACTAATCCTCCTGCTTTCCTTTTGCTTGTTTCTGTCCCAAGAAGTCTTCAAATAGCTGGCTTCTTTGTAGCAAAATTAGTAAATTGCTAACATTCAATTTTCAGTTTTCATAAATTTTCGTGTGTCAACGAGGACTCCTTTAATTGAGGGTCAGAAGTCTATTTAAATTGGTTTTATTGCCTCATATAATAGAACTTTTTTTTTTTAATGCTGTGGATCAAACCCAGGGCCTTGCATATGCTGGGCAAGCACCCTGAGCTGAGCTACATTTCAAAACTGCATGACTGATACATCCTTAAAAAAAAAAAAGAAAGACAGAGTCTTGCTATGTAATACAGGCTGGCCTTGAACTCACAATCCTCTTTCTCAACTTTGTGAGTGCTGGGATTATAGATATGTGCCATCACACTCAGCTGTAACTGAGAAGTCTTGAATGCTTGTGATCTCAGGTACTCAAGAGGTTGAAGCAGGAGGATCACAAGTTCAAGGTCAAAATAGGTAATTTAGCAAAATCCCAGCTCAAAATAAAAAATAATTTATTATTGGGGGGGTGGAACAGAGGGGTGTGTTGTAGTTCATGTTAGTTTGGAACTCACTATGGAGCCCTGGCTGGCCTCAAACATGAGACAAACCTCCTGCTTCAACTTTCTAAGTACTAGGATTATAAGCATTGCTCCACCATGTCCAGTTTCTTTCTTTCTTTCTTTCTTTCTTTCTTTTTTTTTTTTTTTTGTCTTTTTCCTTTTTATCAGTACCGGGGATCGAACTCACAACTGCCTGCTTGCAAGGCAGGTGCTTATGCCGCTGAGCTAAACCTCCAGCCCATTTTATTAGTAATACTTTTTTTTTTTCTTTTGTCTTTTTCGTTTTTACCGGTACCGGGGATCGAATTTACGACTGCCTGTTTGCAAGGCTGGCACTTATGCCGCTGAGCTAAATCCCCAGCCCCCATGCCCAGTTTCAAAAAAAAAAAAAAAATTTAAAGGAGTTAGAGATATGGTAGATGAGGCTGTGCTCAAGTGTAAATCCAGGCTCTCAAAGTCATTAGGAATCAACCCATCAGTATTATTTTTCAATTAATAATTCACTTTGTTAGCTGGGTGTGGTGGCACACCCCAGTAATCCCAGCACTGGGGAGGCTGAGGCAGAGTATCATTGCAAATTTGAAACCTACCTGAGCTACAAAATGAGTTTAAGACTGGCCTGAACTGCATAGAGAGACCCTCTCTCAAAACAGAAAAAAAAAAAAAAAAGGCAGGTGTGGTGGTGCATGCCGATAGTCCCAGTACTTGGGAAGTTAAGGCAGGAAAATCATTGCAGGTTTGACACCCACCTGGGCTACAAAGTGAGCTCAAGGTCAGCCTGAACTGTGTAGCAAGAATCTGTCTCAAAAAGACCAAAAAAAAAAAAAAAAAATTCAGTTTATTGTATAACAAATTACCCCAAAATTTATGATTTACAAAAGCTTCAATCAATGCCTATTTCTGTTTCTGATGGCCTGGAATTTAGAAGTTTAGCGGGATGATTCTAGCTTGAGGGTCTGCTCTCATCTGCAGATGACTGAATGTGTTCCCCAGGGCTTCATGGCATTGGAGGCTTGGTTCCCAGCATGACCATGGTACTGGGAAAAGGAGCAAGCCTTTGGGTGTTAGGTCTTAACCACTGCAGGCATTGTCCTTGATGTGGATTATGGTAGAATCTTAGCTCTTATAAAAGAGTTGCTAAAGGCAAGCCTAGCCTCTCCTGCTCTCTCTGGCTTTATGGATTAAGATGCAACTAGTTGCTCTCATGTGAGTTCCACCATTGCAATCCTCCATAAAGTGATACAGCTAAGGAGAACCCTCACGAAAGCCTAGGCACTAGGCCATGCTGTTTGGACTTTCAGCCTCCCAAAACTGAAAGTTAAATAAATTGATTGACTTCACAAGTTAGTTTTTTTCAGGTATTTTATTTTACTAATAGACAGTTTATACAAGGTCCCTGTTGTGATTTCAAGCCACATGTTAGTCAGGGCTAATTGTGATTCACATGGTGGTCAGACTGGTGCTAGTTGCTAGCAGCGGGCTTTACTTTCTTCTTACATGGGCCTCTGCATGCTGCCTGAGTGCTCTCACCGTGTAGCAGCTGGGTCTCCCCACAGTGAGTGATCCAAAGACCAAGATAGAAACATCAATGCCTTTTATGACCTGGGCTTGGAAGTTTAACACCGTCACCTCCGTGTATTCTACTTGACACACAGTGCAACTCTGATTCAGTGTGAAAAGGGGCCATACAAGGGCATGGATCCAGGAGTGGGGACAAAGCCGGGTAGTCTTGGAGGCTGCCTGCCACAGCATTCGTCTGCCCTTCTTTTCCTGTTTGCTTTGCTCTTCCTACGTTTGGGCTTCCTCCTCAGCCAGAACACATACACACACACACCCCTCACCAAAAGTAACAGAGAAGGCCATCAATCTTTATAGCCCATAGTCTACCTGCTTACTGATCCCAGTGGAAAGAAGTATGTTTTCCCTAAAGTTCTGGCAAAAGTTCCAAAGCAGACTCTGGTTGACCTAATTCATTTTTTATGCTTATCACTGAACCAATCATTGTGGTCTAGAGATGCCATGCTCTTATTGGCCAGATGCAAGACCATGTTATATGCTTATTGGCCCACATTTCCCAGTCCTAGAATTGAGATGAGGGCTGGCAGCTAAAGGTGCATGGAGAATGTGAGGAAGAAATAGTTCTTTACCAAAAAATCAAGGCATCAACAATGAACCAGTATGAACACCAGGCAGGAAAAACACTACCTGTTTACCTCATCTTTTTCTCTGTGCTCCGACTGCACCTTTTAGTGTATCAGGTTAGCACTTTTCTCATGGCATTGGTCGAATTCTAAAGTGGCCCCAAGATCTCCATTCTCATTTATGTGCACTTTCTCTCAGTTATTCAGTTAAACACTGATCCAGATCTGCAAGATAGTTTGTGTGTGTGTATGGTTCTGGGGACTAAATATAGGCATTTGCTAGGGTTAACATGGGAGAAAAGTACTTTACCACTAAGCCACACCCCCAGTCCTTTTCTAAAAAAATTTTGCAAGCATAATCAAGGTCCCAATCAGTTGACCTTAAAGTAGGAAGATTATTCTTGGTGGGCTATGCCTAATCGTGTGGTGTGAGCCCTTAAAAGAGATACATTTTCCCCCCCTGGCAAAACAGATTCAAACCTTGACAGATTCAACACAAGAGAGAGTCTCTTTTGGCTTTGAAGTTGAATTAATCACATAACAAGAAATGCAGATGACATCTAGGAGCTAAGGGTGGCTGGCCCCTAGCCAGAGAATTCAGTCCTACAACTACATGAAACTGCATTCTGCAAATAATCTGCCTGAGCTCAGAAGTGAATCTTCTCCAGACCTTTCAAAGAGGGGTCTTTCTGAGGGTCTCATTATGTAGTTCAGGCTGGTCATAAGCTCATTTTGTAGCCCAGACTGGTCTCGAACTTGCAACGATCCTCCTGCCTCCTGCCTCCTCCTCCCAAGTGTTGGGATTACAGGCATGTGCCACCATGCCCAACTAAAGAACTCAGTCTTGATCTTACCTTTATGATACAGTATTCCAACCATAAAAGGTAATTACATTTTTACTTATGAATCTTTGGGCCAATAAGTGGGTAAGTCTGTGGTCATTTGTTATATAGCTGTAGAAAGCAAATATACTTCCTGATGGACTCTTACGATTCCTGAAGTAGGGGCTTCTCTTTGATTGTCTTAACCCTCTGATCCCTAGTAGGACCTGGGACACAAGACTCTCCCTAGAACTGAGTCCAGTCCCATTATCCAGAAGAAGGAAGAATGCAGCATTCCATTACTCTACCACCACCACTCCCCACCATTCCTTTCCTTGGGCCCTACCAAGGAAGCTGCCCTGCTTGGCTTTCCATAAACAGCCTGTGTCCCCCTGGGGCAGCTTGGCCAACATTCACTTCCCAAGCCCAGGGACCTTTGACCAGCCTAATTGATCTGGACTTCTGGGCAGGCAGCTGGACCAACAGACAGACGCCATGAGGGTTCTACTCTTACTGGGGTCTCTGCTGGTGAGCCTGGAGTCGGCGCTTTCGGTGAGGGCTGTGGGAACTAGGATTGGGTCAGGACGGCCGTGGGGCTTCCAGTAGCCTCTGCCTATAATCTGTTCACCCAGGTGACAGGAAAGCCTGTGTGGGAAGGTGTAGTTAGACCAGAAGGCCCAGGCAGAGGAAACAGACAAACCAGAGCTGGCGGATATGAGAGCTCAACCTGCACCTCTGGGGGAGAAAGGACCCAAAGGAGACAGAGAAAGAAGAGAAAGAAGGGGTTCAAGTCTTGTGGGGAAATCTCTGCATTCTGAGCTGTGAGAGGACAGCAAGGGCTGTGTAGGATTAGGGGCAGGTTACAGCGTTTTAGGCAAATCACTTGTCTTCTTGCCTCTGTAGGCTCCACCACCTTGGAAAGCCCCCAAGGAGCGCCGGCACAGGGCAGAGGAGTTCACAGTGGGTAAGTGCTTCAACTCCTCTCCTAAGAGAGCCTTGGGAAATGAGTGCGGTGGGGAGTGTGCCGTCTCAGAGAGGCCTCAGGCCTTTGAAATGAGGCGATGGATTCTGAGTACAGAGTGGATTGTCTGACATTCAGACCTGAGTACCTACAATGCTAGGTCTTGGGCCCATGAATGCTGGAGGCTCAGAGCAATACAGAGCTGCATCCAGAGCCTATCACAAGCAGGTGTTTGGAGTAGCTGCTGCTGATGCTATCACATTTGGGTTCTTCCTCTGTTTCCTCGTCTTCCGCCCTTCTTTTCCTTTCACAGCATATCTTGAGGGCATCAGTCACACCATACAGAGGCCAAGGCCCTGAATGGGTAAAGAATGATTCAGAGCAGAGCACTGAATCTCAAATACCTCTGGGTCTCACTTTATTACTTATCGACTGGGTAACTAAAGAGAGCCCATCTCACCAGGCTCATCTTGGAGTTTACATTTGTAATCCCAGGGAAAAGTTATTGGAATTCTAGTGAATAAATTCCAATCTACCACTTCCATTGCCACCCACAGTGCAAATAAAGAGACAAACACATATCTGTAGTGGTGGAGAGCCAAGGGGGTCCTAAGTCCAGTAAGAACAATGGCTAACTAGAAAAAAGCCACGACCCACAGCCAAACCCAGTTTTATTAATCGTGAAGAAGGGAACGGCTTGAGTTGAGTGAGAATGGTAGGAATTATCTGAGTACTGTGAGCTGGGCTAGGTAGGAGGCATAACAGCACCTCTGCAGTATGCAGAAAGAGTACCAAATTCTGATAGCAAGTAACCCCTAAGTTTGGAGGAATCTGCATTACCCAGTTTGGGGAAGAACCTTGTGTTTTGGGTGGGGGCTTCGGCTTTGAAGTGTCCATGTCATGAGACACCATGGGTTCTTTTCTTGAGCCTCAGTCTCCGTCACAGCATAGCATCACTTGGCCTAGCTCTTGCATACTAGTTGGGAGCTACAGGCAGGGCATCACTGGCCTGTCGCATTGCTTCAAAGGATACACATCAGGGCCTCAGTTAGACCCTTTTGCATTGCTTATAGTCAGTAGAGAGGGTAACGTATTATCCTAGCCTGCTCTGTATGTGTCAGTTCACGGAAAAAGCACCAGGTTTGGCCAGAATGGAGACAAGTGATATTCTTTCAAGGAGAGTCGCCTGGTGGCCCTCCATAGGTGACTCTGGGTAAGTAACTTGACTTGATTTCTCTGTCCTTTAGTTTCTCCATTTGTGAAACCAGCCCATAATAGTGAATCTCTCATGGTGGTTTAGAAAGAAAAATGAGTTGTTGATCCCTGTAAGGCACTGAGTCCAGAGCTTGGTGCTTCACAAATGCTTTAAAAATCTTGGATTTTGGATTCAAGGATGGTGGCTCATGCCTGTAATCCCAGCACTTGGGAAGCTGAGAGAAGAGGATTGCTGTGAGTTTGAGACCAACCTTGGCTACATAGTGAGTTCAATGCCAGCCTGAACTCCATAGCAAGACCCTGTCTCAAAAACCAACAAACCAAAAAAATTTCCAGAAAATATTAGACTTTGGAGTAGGGGTACTACTCTGTAGTAGAACGGTTGCCTAGCATGTGCAGCTGTTTGATTCATAGCACTGAAAAATAAGCAAATATCTTAGCTCTTGCTGTAAATCTCCCACTACGTGAAGGGTACCCTGCTATCTTCCCTTTTCCCAAACCTTATCATAACTCCCCATTGCCTTTATTCTATCATGTGTTTTATATATATCGCGAGAAGAGAGAGTATGCAATGTTCTGGAGCTTGTGAACTAGATGGACCCTTCTCTGATCATACTGCCTGTCGGGGTCCAGTCTCAGCCCTTAGCATGATGAACATGCTGCAGTGGACTTCTGCAGTGTGTCTTTTCCTCACTCCTCACCAAGCCAAACTATTCTCCTTCTTCTTGCCTGACTCAACTAGAGTGCCCTGTCTTTCTTTCTTATTTTTTTTTCTTTTACAACAGGGTCTTGCTATGGAGTTCAGGATGGCTTTGAACTCACTATGTAGTCCAGGCTGATCTCGAACTTACAACATTCCACCTGCCTCAGCCTCCTGAGTGCTGGGACTACAGGCATGTGCCACCAGCCTGGCTATTGCCCTGTCTTTTCCTAATTGCCTATCTAGTATCTACTTCCTCTCTGTTCATCCCATTTACACATCAGAAATCCAGGTCAGATTCCTCTGTCTCCTTATAGCATCCTGGCCTCTCTTTGGCCCTCAGCAAGTGCTACTTAGTATGCCTTTAACAACAACAAAATAGCAGCAGATATTCATTGAATGGATACTACTGCATTAGATACACAAGGTTTTGTAGGCATTATCTCTAAGCTCCTCCACAGTCTTCTGATATAGATACAAGCAATTCTTTTTTTTTTTTTTTTGTACCAGAAACTGAACTCAGGACCCTGTGACTACCACGCAGGCACCATTCCACTAGCTATATCCCCAGCCCAATACAAGCAATTCTTATTATTCACAGTAGTTACATCCTATGAAGTCATCATGAACATCAAATTCATAAATGCTATTGTTAGGTTCCTGTGAACATCTGGTTATAACGTTTTAATCAGTCATCAACATGTAATATAATTTGGGGGCTGGAGATTTAGCTCAGTGGCGCCTGCCTGGCAAACTTGAGGTTGTGAGTTTGATTCCTGGTACTGAAACAAAAGATATGACCTTGTTTTATATGTTTTTTTGGTTTTTTTTTTTTTTTTTTTTTTTTTTTAGTCTTTTTGAGACAGGATCTCCCTATGCAGTTCAGGCTGGTCTTGGGCCCACTTTGTAGCCCAGGCTGGTCTTGAACTTGCAAGGATCCACTTGCCTTAGCCTCCCAAGTGCTGCCTTTATATGTGATTCTGTTTAACATGTACCTCATTGTCGTGAGTGTCTTAGAGCACTCTGAACTCCGGGCAAGGTAAACACGCACACACGCCTGATCGGGACACGGGGGGTACAGTGCTCGGAAAAGAAAGACAGGAGAGACACCTTTACTGTCTGCACCATGTTACACTGCACTGCACGCACAATCTTTATTTTAGGATTCATATATAGTAAACCCGATCAGTTCACAGAGCCCAGATAATTAAGTAGTGAAAAGGCATTCTTTGTGGCAAGCTACAACGTGACAGACTACAATGTTTATTCTAAAACTATCTAAGTGAAGTAAATAATCACAACCAGTTCTCATAACTTCTCTAGCCCAGGAAGAAATTCATTAGCTCAGGAATGTTGTTAATTTGTCTGCTGTTAGTGTCACAAAGGGTGGCCAGCCACTTCCTCAAGACTTCTGCAAAACAAAGCCAGCTCACAGTATGGATTCCAGAGGGTGAGGGGCTCACTGAGAACAGGCATTCCTATTCTACCTCCTTCTCGCATACCAGGGCGGCTATTGTAAATTGCAGGTTAGAGGGGGTTGGGCCTACAAAGTGACACCTCATCCCCCACACTTCCTTCCTTTTTATTTTTTAACAACAATTTCCATAAGATCAGGTTATTAATAGTATTTCGTCTTATGCAGTAAAAATACACAAGAACTATGGCAATGAGAACTATAATTAAACTAAGTTCCATGCCACTAAAAGTGTGGGTTATGCTCTGCCAGATTCCTTTGGAATCTAATCCTTTCAAAGATTGAGCAAGCAATTGCGCGAATTGTGCTAGGGATTCATCATCATTTTGCTTTGCAAAATCCTTGTCAATTTGATTATGCAAAGATTCTATTTCCTCCTGGGCAGAGGTGTTTCCATTTAGATACATTCTAATCATTTCCCATTCATGTTCTGTTTGATTATAAGGTCGTTGGGTTATACAGAAAGTAGTTGAATTCCAATCACATTTTAAAAACACTTGATGCTGAAGAGCCAATATTTTTCTACCCATCCATTCAACTGTTTGTTTAAGGAGGTCTATCTGTTGTTGTAGTCTGGCGTTTATTTGCCACTGAGTTAACCAAAGTTCATGAGAATTTTCATGCCATAATTCTACAACATGTTTTTCTTGCAAAGAGGTTTGTAAAGCTATTCCTGAGACTGCTGCTAGGGAGGCTACAGTTATCAGACTTAACAGTACAGCAACCACTATTCCAATAAATCTTTTTGTACGTTTTAACAGATGTTTAAAAAATTCAGTAGTAACAGAAATTACCGGGTCTTGAGACCATGGTCGAGTTAAATTTACAGGCAACCAAATATGAGTTTTTTGTTGTAACAGCATAACTGTATAAGGCTTAGTGAAATTTAGTGTGCTATTTAAGCATGTAAACAATTGACAGTTTAAACAAGTACAAGAAAAATGTGTAAAATTAAAAGTTCCCACTAAAAAGACATAAGGCAGAGGTGCACAAACAGTAATATTATACATTTTAAACCTAGTAAAATTATAAGTAGTAGATACAGATCGACTAGTCCCTGAATAGGAAACATTGTACAAGGTTACAGGTTGCATAGCGGCTGGAATCTTCCAAATATGATTTTGAAGGTGATGAGGGTATTCTTCGGCTGCAACAGCAGGGTTAGCGATTCCACCATCTCCCCACCACAAAAGAGCCGTCTTCTGATGAAATATAGGAGCTCCGTCAGTTATTTTCTTTGGATCTGGAAGACTATACACAACAGAGAGATTACATCTTGTCTCATTCCATTCAGCACATCCATTAACGAATTTTCCAAATGGTCCCCAAATAATATACCCATCAATATTTTTAGCAAATTTTCCCATACATAGTTGCCAAATTATGGGATTATAAGAAATATTTTTATAAGTGAATTCAGGGCATACAGGAAATGTATTTGTATCAGGTGCTGTTAAATTTCTCCAGGTAACATTAAAGGTTTGAGCAGCCAAGGCTTGAAGCCTTGTTCTTTTGTTGCCTGTTTTTATTCCATGTTGAATCCAATACTGCCATCCCAGAGGGATGCAAGGCGGTTCCCCAATGCAAATAGGCCTTTGATTACCATAATAAGTAAAATTGAATAATGTCCCATCATCTTGATTGTGGGGGGTTAAATCAGCCCACGGTGCTGACAAAATTTCTCTAGGTGTGGTATAAAGTAAAATATCACTAGTTCCCCATTTTACAGGTTCTAATAAAGGGGGGTTTGGAATATATGCCCAGTACGAATGTGGAGGTACCTCAGTCCCCGACGCAACAGTGAGCAAGGCACATAAAGCTAAAAACAAGTTTTCAGGGTTTAAAGGCTTTCCTGCTTGAAGGACAAGCCGTTGCCCTTCTATGGTCAATTTCTTTAATTGTCCCCATGTAGGGAGGGGATTTAAATTTGGTCGCTGTGAGCGGCGGGATTTTCTTAGCTTTAATCTGGCCATGGCTGCGATAGGAACAAGCTCAGCATCCTCAGCCTCTAGCTGGTTTCGTGCTCGCTTCTGAAGGCACGGTTCCGGTTCCTTGGGGAGTTGTCTCCGGGGCTGGCGAACAGGGTCTGGAGGCGCGGATCCTGATCCATCGTCCAGGGACCCACTGCTGAATTCCATTTTCTGTGGAGATATAACCAAAACCTTTCCCCTTATAGAGCAATGTGCCCCTCTCCCATTCAGCCTCTGGAGCTGTTTTAGTCCAAATAGGTTCATTAATCACAAAGGGCTGTTGTTGCTGTTCGAAATGTCTTTTCAGCTCTTGTTAATATTTCACCTTGTGGTAAATTGAGAAAATTTAAAATAAACAATGCTTGATGCAGTAATGTTTTTGGACTGTTTTGCAATTTAAACAGTATTGGTATCTGAATATCCTCCTGACTCCTCCTTTTTAATTTTTTTAATTTGCAACTTAAGAGTGCCATGTGCTCTTTCAACAATAGCTTGACCCTGGGGGTTATATTCAATCCCTGTAATATGAATAATATTATGGAGATCGCAAAATTGTTTAAATGTTTTGCTAGTATAAGCAGGTCCATTATCTGTTTTGATTTTAGAAGGAATTCCCATAACTGCAAAAGTCTCCAATAAATGTACAATAACATTTTTAGTGGATTCTCCCTGTTGAGCAGTAGCCCATAGAAATGAAGAATAGGTATCAATAACTACATGTACATAAGAAAGCTGACCAAAAGAAGGTACATGTGTAATATCCATTTGCCATAACTCATTAGGTTGAATTCCTCGAGGGTTGACACCTGTGGGAATAATTCTTAAATGTAATGGTCTACAAATAGGGCAGGCTTATTAGAATATAACACAGCTGAATAGATATTTGTCACTACTCCAACAGAATAGGCCGAATCGGCTATAATATTAATAGGTTGGTTATGAAAATCTAAAAACACTTGTAATATAGCAAAAAGTTCATTTTGTTGTACAGAGTTAAAATTTGTCTGACGTACCCAGTAAGATTTTTGAGTCCAATATGCAGCTTTATTTTTAGATCCATCTGTAAATATAGTCAAAGCTTGTGGAATTGGCTGTACAGCTAATAAGGTATTAACCACAAATTGTTGACGTCTAAAAAAATCCCATAATTTACTTTTAGGAAAATGATATGAAAAAGTTCCCATGAAATCTGCTAAAGCAATTTGTAAGGTTTCAGTAATTGACAACAAATATTCCCATTGTTCCTTAGTTAAAGGGATAACTATATTGTTTATATCTTCTCCTATCAAAGTTATAGAACGAGCTCTACCATTCATAATTAAAGCTGCAACCATGTCAATATAAGGCATAACATTTTTAGATTGCTTAGTTTTAGTGAATACCCATTCTACTGGCATAGCATTTTGACCTAAAACTGCAGAGGGATATTGAAAAGTATTAATAATATATAAAGTTAGAGGCAATTTAGGATCAATCCTAATTAAAAATGCATCCTTAATTCGTTGTTCTACAAACTGTAATTCTTGCTCTGCTTTTGCGGTTAAAGAACGAGGGCTGGATGGATCTGAAGAGCCCTGTAGAGTAGCAAACAAATGCTGTAATGCATGGGTAGGAATACCTAGTGTGGAACGAAGCCAATTAATATCCCCTAATAATTTTTGAAAATCATTTAAAGTGGATAACTTAACTCTCCTAATAGACATTTTTTGTGGAATCACCTTTTGTCTAGTAAGAATATATCCCAAATAATGACTAACTTCTTCCTTTTGAGTTTTATCCTGTGCTATTACAAGTCCAAACGGAGATCAGCATTTTTGTCTTGCCTTTTTCGCACAACCTTCCATAAACCACATGTGCCACTGTAAATATTCTGGCTCTTTTAAAAGAATTTTGGCCTAGGCTTTCCAATCATAAGGAGCAAGATTACCATAGTGATCTGCTACCGATGTTATTAATTCTCTAGTGTAATGAGCCTGAGGGCCATAAAGGGTTACAGCCTTTTTTAATTTTGCTAAATCATCCATATTAAATGCTTCCCATCTAGGGGGAACTGCCTCTCCATCTATTGGCTGTGGCCTGATTACAGGGAAAGCAAAGGCAGGCTTTTCCTCATCAGAATCCCCTAATTTTGGTAGATCAGCCAAAGCTAGCTTGGCTTTACTCCAATTAGGGTTAGATGGAGGAGGTGCAGAGGGAACTACAGGCGGGTTCTGCTTAACGGAGAGTTGTTTCACCTCTTGTGTTAAATGCTGTATAGCCTGTAAAATTGGGCGATTGTCATAATTTGATATTGCTGCGGCAGCTAAAGCTGAGTCGGCTGTAGTGGATTTTACTTTTAGTTTGGACGCCTTTTCACTACTTAAAGCGATAGCGTCATTTTGAACTACATTCTGCTCCTCCTCTGTGAGGGGCAATTCCTGAATAACTGGCTTAATTTCTAGTTGAAGATTTTCTACAATATGTTCATCTTCCATAGCTTTTAATAAAGAGTACACAACCGACCAAATAGCCCAAAAACGTAAAGGAATCTTCTCCTCCTGTTGCATAGCCCTTTCTATACTAACCCTTGCCTTCCTCCATACTTCTACATCCAAAGTTCCTTCATCTGGAAACCAAGGATTATATTCTTTAATTGTATCAATACACATATCCAAGTCAGCTGACCTGAGCGATATGCCATATATAGATAATAAATGTTTAAGAATTTTTAAGAAAGGAGAAGAAGCAGATTGTCCCATTTCCCCGTAATAAAATTATACTTACCTTCCTAAGCGACCTTCGGAGTCCCTGAATTCGGGCGCCACTTGTCGTGAGTGTCTTAGAGCACTCTGAACTCCGGGCAAGGTAAACACGCACACACGCCTGATCGGGACACGGGGGGTACAGTGCTCGGAAAAGAAAGACAGGAGAGACACCTTTACTGTCTGCACCATGTTACACTGCACTGCACGCACAATCTTTATTTTAGGATTCATATATAGTAAACCCGATCAGTTCACAGAGCCCAGATAATTAAGTAGTGAAAAGGCATTCTTTGTGGCAAGCTACAACGTGACAGACTACAATGTTTATTCTAAAACTATCTAAGTGAAGTAAATAATCACAACCAGTTCTCATAACTTCTCTAGCCCAGGAAGAAATTCATTAGCTCAGGAATGTTGTTAATTTGTCTGCTGTTAGTGTCACAAAGGGTGGCCAGCCACTTCCTCAAGACTTCTGCAAAACAAAGCCAGCTCACAGTATGGATTCCAGAGGGTGAGGGGCTCACTGAGAACAGGCATTCCTATTCTACCTCCTTCTCGCATACCAGGGCGGCTATTGTAAATTGCAGGTTAGAGGGGGTTGGGCCTACAAAGTGACACCTCATCCCCCACACCTCATAGCCAACAGCACTGTACTCATACCTGAAGAATGCTTCTCTTACACATATTTTCTCCATAAGGCAAATGGCAGCCTTCTTGCACTGAGGAACACAGACAGCACAGACATGGACGCCATTTTGAATGGCAAAATTTTTACAAAAAGCACAAAATATGGGGAAAAAAACCACTACACTAAGTAAATTTTGAAAAAAGACATTTGTTTACAGCACGAGAATTGAAAGAAGAAAGAAGAGTGTCACCTTATAGGACCTCAGCTGGAAATGTGCACATTTATCATTTTGTACACGCCCACAAACTACCATGAAAGCATTGCAAGTACTTGTATTTTTTTTTCCCCAAACCTACAGCCTTGTACAATGTGAAGCAGGCATTCTGCCACTGAGCTACACTCAACCCAAATTGCAAGTACTGATTTGGGGTTACAATAAATTTTAGCAGATTTGTCAAATATAGAATTGGTGTATTATTATTGCCATTTTACAGATGAGGGAACGAAGGCTCAAAATGTTTATGTGACAAACATTTAATAAGGGTCAACTTTGTGACAAGCATTCTTTTAGGCCTTGGAGCTGCAGAATTGTCCAAGGTCATGCAGCTATCGAGTGATAGGATCCGTAATTTATCTGGTTATCTAACTCCAGAACCCTTTTCTGGGGGGAAGGGGGCGGAGACTCAGGCTGGTAGTGATTCTCTTGCCTCAGCCTCCCAAGTGCTGAGATTGCAGGTGTATACCATCATGCCCATCTACTTCTGCAGGATGCTTCTTGAGCACACAACCCTTTAGAGGGTCTATCCCTCTTCCAATCATTGTGAGGCAAAGACTGGGTAACGGGGCACAGGGGAAGTTCTCAAGAAGTGTGTTATTCCACAGGTCTAACTGTCACCGGGGAACCCTGCTACTTCCCTTTCCAGTACAACCGGCAGCTGTATCACCACTGTATCCACAAGGGCCGGCCAGGCCCCCGGCCTTGGTAAGAGGGGCTAAGAAGGGCCTGGGAGCCATGGACTCTGCCCTCCTTCTGTCCAAGGCACCCTGCTCAGAAAAACGAGGCTCTAGGAGGGAAGGAAGGCCAGCCCCTAGGCAGAACTGAGAGGCCTTCTTTGTTTCTACAGGTGTGCCACCACCCCCAACTTTGACCAGGACCAGCAATGGGCATACTGCCTGGAGCCCAAGAAAGTAAAAGGTATGCCCCACAGCATCTGGGGTGGCCCAGGGCCCTCTCCCCATCAGTTCTGCTCCTGAGTATCACTGGATCTCACACAGCTGGATTCTGTATCCTTGTCCTTTCCTCCTTCACAATATCTTTTAGGAAGCCCGAGGGAGAGTTCTGAACAGAGATAGTCTGATTTTGTAGATAAATAAACTAAGACTTGGCAACTTGGTCTAAAGTCTCATGACAAGGAGGTTCAGGTAGGGACTTGGCCCTCGCCTGTGTGACTCAGGCTCACCCTGCTTCCTCCTGGTTTCTGTCTGTAGACCACTGCAGCAAACACAACCCCTGCCAGAGAGGAGGGATCTGTGTCAATACGTTGAGCAGCCCTCACTGCCTCTGTCCAGACCACCTCACTGGGAAACACTGTCAGAGAGGTAATGAGGTGTTGCTAGCCAGGGAAGGGGACACTGTGGGACCAGCCCCAGGCCTACTGAAGAGGCCCCTTTGGGTGGGACTCGGCGTGATCCCAGCCATGTTGGAGACCTCCCTTCCCACTGCATTCCCAGAGAAGTGCTTTGAGCCTCAGCTTCACCGATTCTTCCATGAGAATGAAATATGGTTTAGAACTGGACCAGCAGGTGTGGCAAAGTGCCACTGCAAGGGTCCTGATGCTCACTGCAAGCAGATGCACAGTCAGGGTAAGTGGACCTGTTGGAAACTGGCTGGGGAGGAGAACTGAAGTCAAGAGAAGCCGGCAGGAAACGGCTGCCATTTGTCCCTTCCCCCAGAATGCCAGACCAACCCGTGCCTTAATGGGGGGCGCTGCCTAGAGGTGGAGGGTCACCATTTGTGCGATTGCCCGATGGGCTACACTGGACCCTTCTGTGACTTGGGTGAGTGATGGTCTCAGCGGAACCAGAAGCCAGCCCTCTCGTGGGAAGAGCTTCCCCAGAGAGCCAACTGAGAGTGGGGAAGTGGGTTCGAGAGAGGGGCGGGAGCGGCACCCCTTGGCAGCAGGGAGCCCCCTTTGTTTCTAGACACTACGGCGAGCTGCTATGAGGGCCGCGGGCTCAGCTACCGCGGCATGGCCAGGACCACTGTCTCTGGAGCCAAGTGTCAGCGGTGGGCCTCGGAGGCCACCTATCGGAACATGACTGCGGAGCAAGCGCTGAGACGCGGACTGGGCCACCACACCTTCTGCCGGTGCACTGGGTGGAGTGGAGCAGGGCCACTCCCTCCCTCAAGGGCTTCAGGGCACCCCAATCCCTAACAGCGCCGCCCTCTTGAGGTTACAGGAACCCAGATAATGACACCCGTCCTTGGTGCTTTGTTTGGATGGGCAACCGGCTGAGTTGGGAATATTGCGACCTGGCACAGTGCCAGTACCCGCCCCAGCCAACAGCTACACCCCACGATCGCTTCGAGCATCCGAAACTGCCCAGTTCCAGGCTTTCAATACTACAGACCCCTCAGCCCACGACTCAGAACCAAGGTAGTTGGGGAGAGAGGGAAATCCCAGAAAAGAAGGAGCAGGACCAGGTAGATTCCAGGCACAGTTCTCCCTGATCTTCTCCCGCAGCCTTGGCGAACGAACTGCCTGAGACCAGCAGTCTGCTCTGCGGACAGCGGCTCCGGAAGCGTTTGTCTTCCCTGAGTCGTATCGTTGGCGGACTAGTGGCGCTGCCCGGGGCGCACCCCTACATCGCCGCGTTGTACTGGGGCAGCAATTTCTGCTCCGGCAGCCTCATCGCTCCCTGCTGGGTGCTAACTGCGGCTCACTGCCTGCAGAACCGGTGAGTACCTCCAGAACCCTAGCCAACTAGTCGGTCCCTGAGCCTGGCTTCTGCTGCACACCTGTATCCTAGCCCTCCCCCGCCCCTGCCCCTCCAAAGCCCTCCAGAAGGAAGCTGAAAATCTGGGGGAAAGTTCGAACCAGAGAACCCCCCTAAAATGCCAGTGGCCCGCTCTGAGCACGCTGCCTCTCCTGCCCCCTGGCTCGCAGCCCAGCGCCCGAGGAGCTGAAGGTGGTGCTCGGCCAGGACCGCCACAATCAGAGCTGTGAGCACTGCCAGACGCTGGCCGTGCACTCCTACCGCCTCCACGAGGCCTTTTCACCCAGCAGCTACCTGAACGACCTGGGTGCGTACAAGCGCCCCTGCGGTGGAGTGGGGCGGGGTGGAGAGACAAGACAGGGAGACCCGGGCCCCAGCGTCTTTGCCTAACACTCCGCCCCGCCTTCGTTAGCTCTGCTACGCCTGCAGAAGAGCGCAGACGGCAGCTGCGCGCAACTGTCGCCTTACGTGCAGACGGTGTGCCTGCCCAGCGGCCCCGCCCCACCCTCCGAATCCGAGACTACTTGCTGCGAGGTGGCCGGCTGGGGCCACCAGTTCGAGGGTAGGCACGACACCTGGGGCAGCCGGGGACCTGAGGACACCAAAGTAGACTGGAGAAGCCCTTAAATTTGATGTTGGATAGGGTGCCTATAGGAGGGGTGGCGTGCAAGGCCGTTGTGTGTAGTCCGTGGCTCCCAGTCGGAGATACACAGTTGAGGGTCCCAAGTCTCCCAGGGGTACAAGGTGAACCGCACTTTTCCCGGGTTCTCTCTGCGTCCTCGGTTACAGGGGCTACTGGACGCTTCTCACGCAGCCAGGGTAGCGCTGTACTTTGTGAGCCGCGGGGGTGGGCTTTCCGCTTCGGTCCCGCCCATTCAAACCCGACTCCTCCGCGGGCCTCTCCTGGTCTGTGATACCGGGTAACCCGCGCCTCCCTCCCTCTCTGGCTTGCTGTAATGGAGAAAGGCCACGGGTGGGGGTAGAGGCGTCCATGCTGCCTGGACTGGTGTGAGGAAGGTGCTCTGTGTTCGCAGGAGCGGAGGAATATTCCAGCTTCCTACAGGAGGCGCAGGTGCCCTTAATCTCCTCCGAGCGCTGCTCCAGCCCCGAAGTGCACGGAGACGCCTTTCTTTCGGGGATGCTCTGCGCCGGCTTCCTTGAGGGCGGCACGGACGCGTGCCAGGTGAGCCCCGGGGCCTGGTTAGTGCCTCCCCCAAACTCTTCGGGAACAGGGCGAGGGGGCTGAGCTACGTGTTCCCGAACCAGGGTGACTCCGGGGGCCCTCTGGTGTGCGAAGATGAGGCGGCAGAGCACCGGCTCATCCTTCGAGGCATCGTCAGCTGGGGCTCTGGCTGTGGTGACCGCAACAAGCCCGGTGTCTACACTGATGTGGCCAGCTATCTGACTTGGATCCAGAAACACACAGCTTCCTGATTGTCCCGGGACAGGTCTTTCCCTCCAGGGCGATTCCAGGGTGGGAAGACTTCTGGGACATGATTATAGAAAGTAAAAATTGTGTCTCATTCCATGGAGCATCACCAGCCAGGTGACAGGGCTGGAGGAACTCAATAAAATGTTTTGCAAATGCTTCTCGGGAAATGCCAAGAAAAGAAAACGCGTGCAGCTCTCACACTGCCCTCATAGAACAGGATGTGTGGGCTCTTAATATGGGTGCTTTAGATTGCAGTGCAGGTAATGTTTAGTGGGCCTTACTGTGCACCACATCTGTGCAAAGTGACTCTGGAAAGCATTCCTCATCAGGAACTAAACCTTCTAAGAGCAATGGTTCTCTGCCTTGACTGTACATCAGAATCACCTGGAGAGCACTGCCCCTTCTATCAAACCTAAAGCCTCCCTCTGCTTGGCAGGCCCAGTACCACTAAGTCACATCCCTCAGCCCTGGAGTGGCTATGAGTCTATCTATGCCCAAGAAGCACTTGACAGCAATTAAATCAGTGTCTCTAGGGATGGGGTATGAATAGAGGTGTATTTATAGCTTCCCAAGTGATTCTGCATGCAGCTGAGGTTGAGCACCATAGTTAGAAATGCTTAACATTAAAATGGTAGTGTGGGGCCAGGGATTTAGCTCAGTGGCTCAAGCACTTGCCTGGTAAGTACCAGATCATGAGTTCAATCCCTAGTACCAAAGACAAAACAAAAACAAACAAACAATAAGGTAGTGTGTACCCCAAGTGCTGGCAACATTAGATACTCTCATCTCCACCCAAACTTGCACTGGATTTCCAAGTCTCTTGACCAGCAACAGCATCCCCCAAAAATCTGTTAGACATGCAAAACACGTTAGGCTCAATTGTAGAGTACAGAAGTAGAAACTCTGGGACCTAGCAGTCAATCCCAGGGCCTTCCTGGGGTTGCAGCCATTCTGATGCTGAGGAGGTTGAATGGTTTCCTTTACAGGCTGAGAAGTCTAGTTGTCCAGATGTGACATCTTTTTGGTTCTTGTTCAACTTGTTTTTCTTTCCTTTTCAATACTGAGGATTGAACCCAGGGCCTTTACACTAACCTTCATCCCTGCTGGAACTTATGATCTTCAACCTCTTATAGCACTGAGACTGCAGATGTGAACCACCATGCACGCCCTAACCCCATCTGTGGTTGTGTTTTGTCTTGTTTGGAGACAGGATCTTACCCTGTAGTTCAGACTGGTCTAGAACTCACTATACACTTCAGGCTGGCACTGAACTCACAGTGATTCTCCTGCCTCAGGCTCCTGAGGGCTGTGACTAGAGGCATGCACTATCATGGCTGGCAACCCCCTCTTTTTTTTTCTTTCTTTCTTTTTGACAAGGTCTGGCTGTGTAGTTTATACTGGCCTTGAACTCACTACATATCCTAGGCTGGGGTTACAGAAATGCGCCAAACCATATGTTTTATTTATTTATTTATTTATTTGGTACCCAGGATCAAACTCACGACCTGGCTCACACTTGCGAGACAGGCACTTATGCCACTGAGCTAAATTCCCAGAGCAAAACCACATGTTTTTAACGAGCCATTTAAACTGGCTTTCTGGAGGTCCTTTTTTTTTTTTTTTTTTTTGGTGCTGGAAATCTAACTTCAGGGGCTGGGGATTTAGCTCAGCAGTATAAGCGCCTGCCTGGCAAGTGTGAGGTTGTGAGTTCAATCCCCAGTACCACCAAAAAAAAAAAAAAAAAAAAAAAAAAAAAATCTAACTTCAGGACTTTGCGCTTGCCAGGCAGGCTCTCATGCGGCTGAGCTACATCCCTGACCCTATAGGGTTCTTTTGAGTGATTCTCAATTCCTTCCCGCACGCAAACTTTAGAATTTCCCACGCATAAAACAACGCCCCACATTCTCCAGCCTGGGTAACCGCTCTGTGACAACACCCTCTGTCTAGTCACAACCCCGCCCCCGCGTACGTCACGGTGGGCCCAGCGTTCCTAGTTGGCCCAGCGGCGGGACTTCCTTCCCAGCAATAAGCGGAGGGGCGCACTCGGTGAGAGATGAGCGACTGGAAGGGCTTCATCAGCGGCGTGCTGCGGGACCAGAGCATCGACGACGTGGCCATCGTGGGCCACTCGGACAATCGTTGCGTGTGGGCATCGCGGCCGGGGGGCCTACTGGCTGCCATCTCCCCGCAGGAGGTTGGCGTGCTCACGGGGCCCGACCGGCAAACCTTCCTGCAGACTGGCCTGAGCTTGGCGGGCCGCCGCTGCTGTGTCATCCGTGACTACCTACTGGCCAAAGGGGACGGCGTGCTGGACGCGCGCACCAAGGGCCCAGACGGGCGCGCCCTCTGCGTTGGCCACACGCCGCGCGCGCTTCTCGTGCTCATGGGTCGGCGTGGCGTGCACGGGGGTATGCTCAATAAGAAGATGCATGAGCTGATCTGCGGGCTGTGCAAGCAGGGCATGTAGCGTGACAGTCAGGCCACCCACGGTGGCAGCGAGACCAGAATAAACTGTGAACTGGGCGTCGTGGGCTCATCCTCTGATTGCGCGTGGGGAGTTGACAAATCAGGAAACGGGTTTCTGGGAAGATCCTTGCGGGAGAGTGTTCCTTGTGGGCTGGGATTCTAAATCTAGAGTCTGCTCTACAGTTTCCATCTATGGATGCTTGCAGAGAGGCCTCTGGTCTGACTGCTGCTTCTCAGAGCTTTCCGGGGATCCTAGGGAAGATCCTCCCCCAAGCTGAGCAAGAATCAAAAGGTGGGAGGCTTTTTAAACTCTACCTGGGCCTTAGCAGCCTCTTACAGAAATTCCCAGGTACCAAGGCAGGACAGTGAAAGGAGTCCCTTCCCACCCCACCAGCCCCTCTCCCCAGGCACACACCAGCTAGGGTGATGGAGTCAGGGTTTCAGGCTGGAGGTCGTGTTTAACCCTCCCTCAGTAGCCTTGCAGATTGATTCCAAGACCCTCAGGATACTAAAACCCATGTATAAAATGGCAGAGTATTTTAAGTCATCTCTACTACCATTGGTGGAATCAGCAGACGTGCAACCCTTGGATACAGGGCACTGGCTGCACTCTGCTCCTTCCATTTGGTAGAGCACTAGTATGGGCTGTGAGTGGGACAGGATGGAGCCAGTTGCAGAGAGCAGCTCTAGCAGCTTCCAAGCACCTGCATCTTCTCCCACATGCCTGAGAGGAGAGTCTCTGGAAGAAGCATGTCTGAGAGCATCGAAGCTGAGTCTGGGGTCCTACAATCTTCCTTTCCTCTTGAGGCCCAAAGGTCCCAGAGGAGTCTCTGGACAGAAAAGATGAACTTTGGCATCCCTACTCCTTGACCCTTACTGCAAACCTCAGCACCAAAGAATCTATGGAAAAGGAAGGACTGAAAAGCTTGAATAGGTTTAAGCAAGGCCTGGTTGACTGCTCAACAAGAACAAAGGTGGGAGGGAAGGTGTCTGGTCCACACCTCCCTTGCCTGTCTCCACCTCTTTTGTTTCCTCCTTCAGTGTCTCTGACAAGCCCCCACTTGTTCCTCCATCTGCAGCATTGATCTCAGCTCAGTCAGCAGGAGTGAGTGTGTGACTGAGGCAGGTGGGTTCCGCAGAGGCACAGCCTGGTGGGGGTCAGGGCACAGTGGGGCGGAGAGTCCTACTTACTCTGACCTTGAGGGTGGCCCCAGACCTAGCTAGCTTCCAGGCTTCCAGGGAGTCTAGACTGTGGGCTGAGCTCACATAGGTGGGGCCAGGTAAAGTGTTCGGGTGAAGGCTGTGGGCTGCTTTTGCAGTGTTTGAGAGGAGATGATGTTGTTGAACCCGTGCTTTGATTTTACCTTCCCTCCCATAGATGCAGAGCAAAAAGATTTACAAATGGACAAGAATTCTAAATGCCTTTCTTTTATTGTGCGAGGTTGGGAAAGGATTGTAGTGGTGGCACTGAGCCCTGAGTAAGGATGAGAATGGCATCACAGAGGAAGGAAGATGGCAGATAGGGATATAACTCAAGTCAGTGACTGTGGCACCCATATCTATGCATAGGCAAGTAGCTATGCAGTCACTTAGTCAGAGCCACCCTGCCCGGCATTGTCTCAAGTACACAAGAGCATAAATGCAAGCCTACACGCACATAGAAAAGGACTTGAAACCACACCCAGAAGCCCTGCAACCTATATACAGCCTTCCATAGGTACATCTGTACACAAGCATGGTCTGATACACATGGGTACACAAATACTGGCTTCTATGCCTACATGTAGACATGTAGATACACCCCTCAGCTTCCACACATGCATATTGTCACTTGGTCATACAAGCCCATACCTCTATGGATCTGCATAAGGATAGGTATCCAAGGGTGACAGTCACATGCACACTCAGGGTGGCATGCCCTCGCATGCATGCATGCACATGCATACACACACATACACCTCCCCTTCTACCCTGGGATCTGTGCACAGGCCTTTCCATCTCCAGGCAGTTCTCTGGGCCCACACGCTAGAGGCGGGTGGCATTGTGGTGAGCAGGTAGTGCAAGGTGGGGGGAAGGTGTGGCAGGGGGCAGCTCCTCCAGGAAGACCCTTGCAGGCAATTGAGGTGAGCAGGGCTCAGGCCTGGCATAGTGTAAGGTGGCACGGGTGATGAGTTGATCCAGGGGCTTCAGAGAGTGCATCCAGTGGGGTAGGAAGTCCCATGTCTGCAGCCACTTGGGCAGGTGTCCGGGACTTCGACTCTGTAGGATATTTACCAGCAGCACAAAGGCCAGCAGGGCCCCAAAGGGTGCACCCACACCTACCATAGTTTGCCAGCCTGCCATGGAGATGCCAAACACCAGTGAGGGCAGCAACAGAAAGCACACAAGGAGGTAGAGGACTGCAAACCAGCGGTACTTGGCTGTGCGTTTGCCCAGTGCCTTGGCCATGCGAATGGGCAGGCGCATGCAAGGCAGTGGATACCACAGCAAGATGCCAGAGATGTTGAAGAAGAAGTGGCAGAGGGCAATCTGCAGGAGAGTGGAGAGGGGCTGAGGTGGGCAGAAGCTGCCATGTTAGGTCAGCAGGAGAGATAATGGGTGCCTGACCTCATGTAGGCAGCTGGGAAGTCACCATCAGGGCTGATGAGTCCAAAACACCCCAGTAAAATTGCCCTGGTCATTAAAATACTGAACTATCACTAGATAAGCTGGTAAATGGCCACTGTCCTAAACTCTTCACACTTCCTGTACCACCCTTTGTCAGGAGCTTTCCAGCAGATACTGCCAAAATCTAGCAATTAAAAGACTGATACTACTTTCTGGCTTACCTGCTCTGGGGCTCTTAATTGGTCAGTAATATATCTTGTCAGCGGCTCCTTTGTTTCCAGAACAAATCTCCTTGCTCTCATCTGCACTCTCCTTCCCATCTCTACTGATTCTTGATCCTTCAGATTGGACCATCTCCCAGCCTCATCTAGCTTGCTACTCATTTTTTATTCGTACAGATATTGAGCAATGTATCCCTATGAGATGCCAAGGTCTTGGTGTAGGAATCAAGTCAACTTGGCCCACAATGGTTTTTACCAAGCCCATTGTAGATGATCTTGGTAGGCAGTTCGTCTTAGTTGACAATTACATGTTTTTGCACACTTGGTCAAGACCTGTGCCCAATGCCCAGTCCTAATCCTAGTCCCATCCTACTGAGGCAGGGATCTTCTCCTTAACGCACCTGGAAGGAGCTGGACAGCTTCTCCCTGGGGCTGGCCAGTGCAGCCAGGATGGCCGTAGTGGTGGTGCCAATATTGGAGCCCAGTGTGAGGGGGTAGGCTCTCTCGATGCTGATCACACCCAAGCCTGGTGGGCAAGGGAGAGGATATGGTCCTCCCTGGGTTCCTCCTTCAGCTCTGCAGCCCTCCCGCTGCCCCCAACCCCTCCTCTGTCTGGCACTCACCAATGAGTGGGGTGATGGCTGAGGTGAACACAGAGCTGCTCTGGACAATGAAGGTCATTCCAGCGCCCACCACCATGGCAAAGTAGCCTGTGACCCAGGTGAAGGGAGCAGGGAGGTCTGCAGGAAACCCCAGACCCCACAGGCTGGCTCAGTAAGAGGGCACTGGAAGAGCAGCACCTTCTGGGGAGAACTTTGGATACCAGAGTCCTGCTAGGACCTAGCCAGTCCCCTGCTCAACTGCAGGAGCTTCTAATTGTCCTTCTTTGATCTTAAAGATTTCTCTTACTTGGTGTCATCACGCTAACCTGTGTTTGCCCCACCTCGTCCCTTTACCTGGAATGTCCTACTTAGCATTTAAGTACTGTTTTCCCTTGGCATCCTCAGAAGCTGCCTGAGTACACCAAGATTTCATTTCTGTGAAATGCCACATATCTACATACAACATACGCACATCTCCCAGGTACTTTAACTCATCTCTAGATTTCTTCTAATACCCAAAGCATTGCAAAGGCTACATAAAATAGTTGTTATGCTGTGTTGTTCAGGGAATAATGACAAGGAAAATCTTTGCATATATTTAAAAAAGATGTCATTTTTTTCTGAGTATTTTTGAGCCATGGTCATTTGAATCTGCAGATTCAGATCCTGTAGATACAGGTCAGGCTCCACGTAGATAGCACTCCCTAACTGGAAAGTCCTCCCTGACCCCAGACCACCCCCACCCTGGCCCTCTCTGTTTCCTCCTTCTCTGAGTTCCCACAGCCCCATTTATGCCCCTCATTCCTGCATTTGTCAGACAGCCTTTTTCAAGGTCAGACAGCATCCCAAAGGCTCAAAGTGAAGTTTAAAATGGAATCAGCTAGTGTCCTTCCCCTGCTGTGCCCTGCCCTGCCCAGCCAGTGCTCCCATAACCTTTCCCAAAGTCCAGGCTCTGCGCTACTCCGGTGACCTTGTGCTCTGGCTCCATCCTCGTTGCCTCCTTGACCTTATCCTGCTTTTCTGCTTTAGTTTACTGTGCTCTCACGATGCTGTGGTCACCTTTCTGTACCACAAACCTACCAAACTGTTTCTTGCATCTTAATCTTTATCCACAGCTTTCTTTTTCTTCAGTGCTGGGAAAAAGCTCAGAGTCTCCTGTATGCTGGGCAAACACTACCACTGTGCTGAGCCCATCTTTATCCACATCTTGACTCCTCATTTAGAGCTCTATTCAAATGCTTCCTCCTCAGAGAGGCCTGACTGTCCACTGAGGATGGTCTACTGCAGCAGTGGGTAGCCTTTCAGAGCTTTCAGTGATACAAACAAGACACGTGGCATAGATTCGCCATCACTGGCCTATCCCATGCTCTATTGTGTTGCCATTCTGCTCTGCTCTTGGGGGTTATTTTGGTCTTCCTTCATACTTATCTTCATTGTCTCCCCCTGCTGGGTTGTGAGCCCTCTTAGATTAGAGTCCATCTCCATTTGCCTCACACCATATCCCTTGGCCCCAACTCTCCAGTTGTCAGCACCCGAGGAGTCTATGAATTGCCTAGTCCAGTCCCTTTTGTGTTCAGTGGGGAAACTGAGGCTCATAGATGGTAGGGTTTTATACAGCTCTAGGCAG